CCTCAGCCAGGCCCGTGAATGACAGCAGATTGGGGGTGAGCAGAGGCTGGGGAGGATGCCTCCACTCCTCCGGCTGACTTAAGTGACAGAGATGCAGGTGCTCAGTAACTGACACTGATGAACAGCACCGTGATAAGACTTGAAGTATATGTTGTATAGGAAGGGATCATAAATTTAAAGCGTAACAGGGAAGAGATGGGAGTTACCGCAGAAATCGATCTTGGGATAAGCGAAGGCAAATACACATACTGATAGGGCCTTTCTTTTCCTTGTGTAGGTATCTTATTTAAAATATAAACACATAAACAGATAGCATAGGAAATAAACATTAAGCAAAACCACAGCAAAGGTAAAGCAGAGATCATCAGGAATATATACAAAGAATAAACCTGCTAAATGATCTTCGTTATTTGTGTTGTTTACAATCTCTGACCATTTGTTGTAAGTTGATCTACACAGGCGGATCCTCATGCCTTCGTGGTGATTGACTTCATCTGGACTCTCAACAGGCATAAGAATCTGCCTAGGCAGATCAGCTTGCAAGAGTGGGGCCCTGTTTGCAACAACCCACCCACAGATTTTGCAGAAAGTCCCAGCAGACTTAGCAAGCACCTCAGAGCAGCAAAATCCCAAAGTTGTAAGAGAAGTGACAGTCAACATAAGAGTAAGTTCATAAGGATTCAGCTGTACCTATTTTTGGTTACATGATGCATGAAATTCTGTTACTGGAAAATTTACTCCAGAATTGAGGATTTTTTCTGAGAGATTACCAAGTTCAGCATTAACTGCAGATTCATTATTTTGCTCCTAAACTTTGCCTTTTACCTCACTGCCAGCTGCCTATTTGGTTTCAGTTTTCCCTAACAAATTTAGACAGAACGTGTGTCTCTCGGTATTCCTGCATGTAATCAGAAAGGAGGGAGAAAGACAAGCTGAGACTGAGCCCTATGGCCCAGTGTGTATTCAGGATATAGAATAGTGCAGCGGTCTGCCTGGAAAATCACGACAGCAAAAAAGATCTGCACTGTTAAATTACAGATGAAACATTTGCCAGTGCACAGTTTTTATCAAGTAATATGTTCAGCTCTAAGTTTTCCACTATTTTCTCCAGACACCCTCCCTGTCAATATAGTTTCTAGCCAATTCAGCCAGCTAGCCTATGCTCTAGCTTTTTTTCTTAGGGATACTCCACCTGTAAGTTTGTTAACATCTTTGAAGGGTATAGAGAACCATCGGATTAGAAAATCCACTAGGATACTTACTAAGGATAGTAAGTAACAGCTAAGACATATTATTACAAGTAGGAAAGTACTGGTTACTTTGAGACAAAGAAGAAGTTAATTATATGGAAGAGTGTGGGATTTTATGTTGCAGAACCTGATGGACTTGGAAAATCCTAAGGCTGCCATTATACTTTTGTAAATCAAAAACTGTGGGAAATCCAAATGACTAAAGCATAAGTTAAAATGTGTAACTATCAGTTGCTATCACATTTTATATTATTTCCTCCTAAACCGTAGTCCAAAGATGACTATAGAGTAGCCCAGACAATGGTTAATGATAAATTAATGAACTGTGAACTACAACTTACCCTTTCTTCTGCCAGTAGGCTTCCCTCACTTAAAGTGCTGGGATCTTCCTCTTTACACTTCTGGCAAATTGCATTTTTATTGTTTCTGGCAAAAAGAAAGAATTAAATAACGATTAGTTGGTGTACTGTACTTCAAGAGGTCTTTGTATAGAGACTGACACAGATAAAAACATGGAAATTGTAATTTCCACTCAGAATCTATAGTCCTTGTTCATTAAAGAGCCAATTCTTGAACACACTGATGTCAAAAAACCCCTGCTGTTCTATTCCTCAAGATTAGGACTAGGCACGTAAATCTCATCTGTATTGCAGCAAAATAAGGGAAGCCTGGATCATAAAAAAGAATAAAGCTAGGAACCTATTTATCTCATAAATTATGCAGAAACACCACATAGGAAAGGTAACATGAAAACCAAACACAGAAGATGCTGATTTTCCCAAGATACATAGACTTCAAATTACAAAGATCTAGTGCAAAATTGAGCTCTAATTAATTAAGCTCTCTAATGCAGAGAGTTAACACTCTACTGCACCTAAAAAAGGTTTTGATCTACTCTTAAAAAATTTAGCATAGAGTTTTATATAGGAAAAGCAAAAAATAAAACTTTACTAGAGGTGTATTTCATTGCCAATGCTGTTTGGCATCCAGGCAGATAATGAACTAACACAGACGGAAAAGCTCATCGGAAAAGCATCCATCCGACCAGAGCATAACTGATTTCAAACTGTACTAATTAGCTTGTTTGAGCCAGTTTCCTGTTTGTGCTAGAAGACTCTAGTGGGAAGATACAACAATTCCTTTATTATTCAGTTACGTTCTGAATTTACGGTTTATGTTGCTTCATTAAGGGGCTTTGTTCTAGATTCACAGTAATGGATTTACGTAAGTTGGACAAATGTATTAATTTCAACACATTTTTGCATTATTATACATTGATCTTCAAATCACAAGTGGCCAGTACATTTACTCAGCTTTTCAGGTGCCCCACACTGTGATCAGAGCTGGGACTGCGTGAACTGGCACACACAAACTAGCTTTGGTAATAGCACCCATGAAGAAGCACAGTAACAGCCTTTCGATTTATTTAGCCAGTAGTAAAGCCCAGTCACTGAATCATGACAGCTGCTGTTTTCCAAAATGTCAAAGCTGAAGTCAGCTCATATACACGGAATTGTACTGCAATTTCACCTCTCACCTGCAGGGCAGACATACCCTTTTCCAAAGGCTCTGGATCAAAGCATAATTGTTGAAAGAAAAGGCAGGATAAAGGCAGCTAATGAATCAAAGCAAATCCCTGCCCAGCTCCCAGTTTTCAGGTTGTCCGGGACAGTGGCTGTCATAGTTTGTCACTAATGGCAGCAGCACCTTAACATGTAGTGACCCAGCTGAGTTACTAGAAATAAAACTCTGAGATAATGTTTATTAAAATCTTATGACATCACTTATCAGAGGACTGTAAACTCCCATGGAAGTATTAAGTCAGCCTTGTACTAGTTCTTCAAGGTTACACCAGAATCATTATCTCACACTTACAGAGAGAAAAATTGACTGCTGTCAAGCCCAGTAATCCAGCCTTCCCCACCCTGCAGACTTCCATACCGGGCACAAGGAGGTAGAGAGTACCCTGCAGTCCACCGCAGGTAAGTACTTCCAGTCAGTAAAATGACTGTCAGTGGGTCCACTGGTTTGTCAGCAGTCCAGCGGGCCGGGTAGCCACAGACTCGTCACTAAGCACAGTGGCAGGATGCAGCTCTCAAGACTCTGCCACGGCGGTGTGACCCTCTGTAGCAAGGACCTACCGTACAATCCAGGAGAGGCAGGCTGAGCAGTACCTATGCCCACAGAGCGTTTGCAGGGCTTTCTTCAGAATGTTATTGCAGTTGCTGCATAGGTACTTCTGGTCAGGCACATCCTCACAAATGTTAGAGGGATATCCGAAAGGAAATTCATTTTCATCAGGAGAAGAGCCGGGGACATCCTGCAGGCCTCTGGTTGTTTTCTCAGCCATCTGAAGCAAACTACTGTCAGAGATAAGGAAAAAAAAATAAGTGCTTAAACAAGCAAACACACGCTCACTTTGATGTGAGAGAATGTATCAGGCATCAAAGTCCATGAGCAGCTCCAAACCTGTGCAGTAATCTAGTGATCTGTTTAATTGAGTCTTAGCGGACATGCGTGACTAAATGTCACAGTGGGGTTTGACTAGGTACCAGCAGGAAATTACTGTACAGATTTAAAATTTCCCTCAAACACAACATGAAAATTAACAACATGTTAAAATGATGGTTTGGGGTTTTCTTTCTAGAGTTTTTTAGTTTGTAGAAAGATGAAGTAAATATTGCCATCATCTTAGAGCTACAATCCCATTGGTCCACATCACACAGAATTATTTCCTGTAGAGTAAATCCCCAACCACCTTCAATTCCCAGGAGCCAAAATTCATGATTACACTTCATAGATGCAGAAACTGAGCAATGGATGTGTTTACAGTGACTTTCCTGAAGTCATAAAACCAGTGGCAAAATGAAAAAGGAAATCTCAAGTTCACAAAAAGCTTAAAGCTTGTGCTCTTACCAGATACACCTTGAGCCAGACACATGCAAAGGTGTCACGCACGGTCAGTATTGGTTTTGGTTAACATGAGCTGTGCAGCTGAATATTTTTGGAAATGCAACCGAAACTGACTCGGATGTCTCCAGAGTCACTTGGAAAGTTCAAGAAAGGTTTTCACCCAGGGACCTGGCACAGTTTGAGCATAACAATGCCTTTATAAATCTACTTTTTTCCCCATAACAGTACTGACACACAATAACCTACCTCAGTATTACCAAAAGTTAACGCTAACGAGTCTCGGAAAAAAACGAAGCAACACTGCCTGGGCCGGGCCAGGCACAGAAACAGCGGTGTGACTGCCATGTGGCGGACGGGGCATGCCCTGGATTTAAAACACTCCTTGAACAAACTGCATTTTCTGTTGCCTGGCTTAGGCAATTCCCCTGGCCTCGCCAGGCATTTGACGGGGAGCTTAGCAACAAACGCAGGGGCTGCCCCATCCGCCCAGAGCCACAAATTAAAACCAGCAACACTAAATGTGCACCCATGAGGTAACGAAGCTGTCAGAGGCGTCGTGGGTTGGTACCCAGGTGAGGACGGGGTAGATGAGTTGCCCACCGGTTTCCGCCGGATCGCTGGCTGCGCTAAGCGAGCCCGTCGTTTCCGTGGGGCTCGAAGCCCACCCCCGCGGGTGTTTTACCCCGATAACGCGCAGTAAAACGGCAGCCCTAGGGCAGGGAGCGGGTCC